AGAGACAGCTGCGATCTCACATTGCTCCTGGAAGCACGAAGCCGAGAACACCAGCCTGAAGATGACGAATGAGACTTCGTTGAAACATTGCAGCACAGAGTTGTTGCTTTTCAGCAAGATACAAAAAGCCCAGAAACTTGTGAATGAGATTTCACAGAACTAGGGCTGAAGAACATCTTAGCTTACATAGGTAAAACCTGGCTAGAAAGAATATGCAGTTAAAAGCCTACGAAAAAGGAATATATATAGATTCTGCACATTCAGGAATCACCAGATTTGCTTTTCTATGCAGGTTTAGGTTCCTCTGTTGGCTTCTGGTTTCTCACTTGAAACTTTAGTGCTTTACCAGACATATCTGGTTTGAGATAGAAGCCAGCAACCAGAATGTAGGAAGAATTTGGAAGAGACCAGTGCTCTCCCAGGGTCTGTTGCTCAAAGGAGGTTGCTACAGAGGGAAACTCTGTGCATCTCCTGTGACCTTTGCAGAACCCTCTGTGAAACTGAGAAGGTAATGAGGGTAGTCCTCAACTTACAACCATTCATTTAGTGACTGTTCAAAGTTATAATGTGATTGAAAAAAGTACTTACAACGATTGCAGCATCCCCATGATCAAAATTCAGGGGCTTGGCAACTGGCATGTGTTTATGACCGTTGCAGCATCCCAGGGGTCATGTGATCAAGATTTGCAGCCTTCCCAGCTGGCTTCAGTCAAGCGAAGTTAATGGGGGGAAGCAGGATCTGCTTACAGGTCATGTGATTCACTTAACAACTGCTGCGATTCATTTAACAATCACGGCAGAAGGTCATAAAATCAAGTGCAACTCATTTAACAACCATCTTGATAAATTAGCAACAGAAATTCTGATCCCAATTGTGGTCGTAAGTAGAGGACTACCTCTATCAGCACAGCACAACTAGCAACGCTGATTGTATGAGCAAACAGACAGAGCAGGTTATGGGCTGCAGAGAAAAATTGAGTTTTACACCTATTTGCATGCATGCTTCCATTCCAGGTACAAATGTGCAGTGAAATGACCCCACAACTCAGCAACTCTGAGGTGTGAAATACACAATGCTAGGAGAGTGCCACAAGTTTAAAATTGATACAGTAAGTCAGATTAATTAAACATTAATAAGAACAGCATTAATTTAAATCAGAAACAGGTATAGTGACCAGGTATTTACATGTTTTGTACACATACCCCAAAGTAAACTGAAGTCAAAGTTGTCCAATTGATTGAAAAATAATATTCACAATACACTTAATTGGGTTCCAGAGACTGCAGCTGAAAGCAAAATTTAGGCTCTCCTGGGCAAATGAATTCATAAATGAGCCAAAACAGACACAAACCTTTACATGTCACATCTTTTTGCAAATCTGAATGCATACTTTATACTTAAGTGTAATTTATCAATGCAATAATTTAAAAAAAAAAACAGTGAATATGACAGGTGCTGAAATTTATGTTGGTATTAAATGGGTGTTATCAACATACTGAAAGTAATAGAACCAGGGGTGAAATGCTCCTGGTTCGGACCGGCTCGGGCGAGTAGGTAGCGATGGCAGCAGGCAGTTCGGAGAACCGGTAGCAAAAATCCCTGCCCCCGCCCCCCATGCCCAGCTGAGCCGCGTGATCATCAGAGCCTTTTTTTCTTTTAAATGGCTCTGACCAGCCAAGCTCTGACGATCCCAGCTGAGTTGCCTGCTAATCAGGCAACTCAGCTTGGATCGCCAGAGCCATGTAAAAGAAAAAAACTTTTTTTCCTTTTAAATGGCTAGTAGCAAAAATCCTTCCCCCTCCTCCCCTCAGCTTGCAATGCCTTGCTGTAATCCCTGCAAATCCATTGCACCAGCAAGCAACTGAATCTCCCTGAATCTCCCTGCAATCAAGCAGGCATGGAGTTGTGGACTTCAACTCCCAGAATTCCTCAGCCAGCAAAGCAAAGCTGGCTAAGGAATTCTGGGAGTTGAAGTCTACAAGTCTTAACGTTGCCAAGGTTGGAGACCCTGTTCTATTGGGTAAGTTTTTTTCCCCTTTGGGAGCTTTAAAAAAATAGTTAATTGGGGTTTTTTTTAGTTGTTCTTTTTTTAGACCTAGCCATTTAAAGTTTAGGAAGTTTTAAATTTAGCTGCTTTTATATAAAAATAAAAATAAAATAAAATAAAATAATATTTGTGCAGCTTTCTGAGATTTAGTGTGTTTCTGTAGTGTTTCACTCTAACTACACAAACACACAAAATCTCACAAAGCTGCATGTGGAATTTTGTGTGTGTAAAGTATGAAAGTTGGTTTTTTGGGCTTTTTGTGGCTGTGTGAGGTTCCTGCTTGTTGCAGGGGCCATTTTGGGTCTAGCACAGCTGCTTTTATATTGTGGGTGAGCCAGTTGTGTTGTGTTTTATAGGTTAAAAAAGGGCAAAGAAGTGACATTGACTTGGCCACGCCCACCTTACCACCAAGCCACGCCCTCCCAGTCACCTTACCACCAAGCCCCACCCACTAATTAAGCCACGCCCACAGCACCGGTAGCAAACATTTTTAGATTTCACCCCTGAATAGAACCATAGCAAATTGCTGGCTAGAAAAGAATAGTATTAACCTAATGGGACCAGAGGTGTTGAAATGTTTATTTTTTAGGTAGTATTTCTACAGGAAAAACTTCTGAGATGTGAGAACGGACTCCAAAACAGACCCCTATATATTTCTCTAAACCACCCTATGACCTTATATTGACTGCAATAATATGTTCTCACCTCAAACTTCTGCCTCAGTTCTGTATTTCCATCTTCATCAGCTTCTGGTATTGGCACATTATAATACTCGCCTTCTTCCTGGTTAAGTAATTTATACCTGAACAATATGAGGAAAATAATTTGAGATATATAAAAAGTATCATTTTATGCATTTTTGTTCTTACTATTTTGAATGCAGGTCATTTTTTTTCCCCCATAAGAAAAGACCAGAAATAGGAAGCTGTGTGCACAGTCCTAGTATTTTAAATTTGCTGAGGCCAAACAGGCTCTCCTTCATAAATGATGGTAAATAATCTTAAAGGGTGCAACATTTCCCTGCAGTAAGAAATTAGCACAGAGGATGTTAAGTAGGCAGCTGATTTGAAGGCTGCTTCATCATCCCTTCTGGAGAAACCAGGAAGAGGGGTTGTATTATTGCCTTGGATTCTTCTACTCTTTGGGGAACCAACTGGGGGAAAAAAATATGCTGTTTCTACATCAAAGCAAGTTACTGATTGAAGTATTATTTGAAAACTCAGCAACTTTTCTGTTTTCCAATTCCTATAAGCTAATAATTACATGTTCTGTAAACTATCTAACTGACACAGTGAGAAAGCTTTTCAACAATTGAATAGAATGCATGGTTAATACGTTAAGGATGGATCAATTAAACAGTCCAGGGTTTACAAAGGTGTCTTACCACCCACAAGCTGGCGACTTCTTCAGTTCTGACACCCCAAAAGAAAGGGATCCCATGAAATCATTCCTTGTGGTTCGATCCCAATCCCAGACTTCCACTGATAACCTTCTGTCTTTGTCTGTGGGCTTTAATTTACTACGAACAGAAAAGCAATTTACCGTATTTAGGCATTCATACAACAAAATGTCATTGAAAAATGATTAAGCAAAATATCCACATGCCACTTACAATGCGAAGGACTCATTCCAGTGTGGATTGAGTGTTGAGCGGATAGTTTTTGTTTTCTGTTTACTTTCGTTCTTAGGATCTGGAATAAGTTTCAGTTTAACATACGGGTCTGAAAGTCCATTGGGATCCATAGGGATTAGATTTCTTGCATCCCGCACTGCAAACATACAAAATAACTATCAGTAAATTATAAAGATTATAAAAATAAGCCATCTGGGTGACCTTGGACCATTCCCTCTCTCTCCGCTCAACCCACCTCATAGGGTTATTGTTGCAAGGAAAATAGGAGGAGGAAGGGGTATTAGGTATGCTCACAGCCTCAATTTTTTTGTAAAAATAATAAAGGTGGAAAATAAAGAAATATCTCTACTGTAATACATTCAACACAACGTTGAGCCATATTCCTACATTAAATGTTAAAAACATGCAGCAAGATGTTGTTATAGATATATCATACATTGGAGAAAAAGTAAAGAGAAGAAAAAGAGATATGCTAGGACCTCACATTTCCTGTTCCCAAAACATCTTGTGGTCCAAATAACATAGTGGAGATCTTTTAAGAGAGCTATTGATGATAATAATAACAAAGTCGAAAAGCTTCCATTGATATAAACTATGATGGCTCAGCTGTTAAACAATGAACATATCAAGATACTAGTTCTTGGCTTGCAACCTTTTATTTAGTGACCATTCGAAGTTACAACGGAAACTGAAAAGAGTGACTTATGACTTTTTTTCACATTTATGATAGTTGGAGCATGCCCAGGTGATCAAAATTTGGGTGGTTGGCAACCAGCATGTATTTATGACAGTTGTACTGTCCCAGGGTCATATGATCACCATTTGTAAACTTCCCAACCGGCTTCTGACAAACAAAGTCAATGGGGGAAGGCAGATTCGCTGAACGACGGTATGTTTCACTTAACTGCAGTGATTTGCTTAACAACTGTGGAAAAAAGGTTGTAAAATGAGGCAAAACGTACTTAACAAATGTCTCACTTAGCAACAGAAATTTTGGGCTCAGCGTTGGTCCTAAGTCGAGGACTACTTGTACCGGATCAGTTTAAATAGGGATTCTAATTTTGCCGTTGAAGTAGTCACTATTATGTTTGGCTTTGTATTCCTGAGCTGATCCATCTGTTTTCAGTATAGAACATTCAGCTTACATTTGCTCAAAGGAGAACACAACCCTACTGATGGCTTATCAGCATTCTAATTAAGCTGAAAAAAGTAGGGAATACGCTAAACAAACCAACAAAAACCTTATTGAAATTTGAACATTTTGCCAGAACAAGCTGACAGCCTGTTCTTGGGGGTCTGGGAAGGTAAAATATGTGGGTTATCTACCCATCCTTGCTGTAGAATTAGAACTGTCAAAATCCTTTACTCAAAGCAGACCTCCAAGCTAGTCTGGGAAGCACAGGAACCAGATGGGTTCTCTGAATTTTGTCTTGATTTTAATAATCTTTCAGGTCCAACCGAAACACAGAATAAACTGGCTTTTTTTCAGGCACAGAGATTGTTTGGGGACATTTTATTTGCTGAAAATAACACTCTTGTTTTTTCAAATTAAAAAAAGAGAGTAATATTTTTTTTAAAAAAAGGATTCTTCACACATGCAAGTTCTTCCTGTGGCAGAAGTACATTTGATCTAGTCAAGGCTTTTCTGGGAGTAAGGGAGGTGTAAGGTCTGCTATCTTCGGCTTTGTGCCGCACTGGTATCCAGCCATCAACTTCAGGGCGGATAGGAAGAGCAAGTGGGAAATAACAGGAAATATATGGGGCATAGGTGAGGAAAAGGGGAGATGACAGCTTGAATGGCACCAGGGATGCAAGAAACCAGTCTGTGTCCGTCTTCAAGGCCATGAAGCTTGAGAAGCTTGAGAATGGAATGTGGATTGTTCCCAACATCCCGAGAAGTTCTCAAAACATCCATACGGCTTTCTATTGGCTGAAGACAGACTGGTCAAGGAGGGAGAGCCAGGACGAAAGGGAAAAGTTTGTAACCTTTTGCACAGGAACCTTTAATTACCTTAGTTCTAGCCAGACTTTACTGCAGCCAGAAACCTTTAATAAAATAATCCATCACTTCAACCAAATGGAGTCGAGGGTCTTTCTTTCCTAAGGGATCAGACTGGGGCAGGTCTGACAGGAGGAACGTTTTATTTTCTCCTGCAGTCTCCACAATTTGAAGTTATTCCACAGATTGCCTAAAACCTGGGAGCGGAATGGTAAGCAGCATCAGCAAATCTTTCCTCTTCCAATGAAGTTATCCTCTATCATCTTTCTATTAATTGAATTGAATATCTGAGGAACCATCTTTCCCCAATGGGATTGTCCTGCCTCACTCATGCTGGCAGAAGGAGCCTACTATAGACCCCATCAGCCAAGGAATTTTGTCCGGTGAGGTCCAGAAGAGCCTTTCTGACATGGCCTCCATCCTTTGGGACATCTTGCTGCAGGAGATGAGATTAATCTCCTTTCTTTTGGCCTTCAGGAAAAGCCTTAAAACCTGGCTGTGCTGGTTAGCATGGGGCCCTGAAGGAGAAGCTGTTGGTTGGAGATGGTGCAGTAACAGAGAAGGTACCACCACTTCTCTGCACCAACCCGTGGTTTTTTTAGTTTGTTTTAATTTTTTTGTTAATTTCAATATGTTCTTATAATTGTTGTATCTGTATGTTTTATTACATTGTAAGCTGCTCAAGGTTGTCTTGATGGGTGGCATATAAATTGAATAAACAAATTAAAAAACCATTATTTATCCACAAAATAAATAAAAGAGAGATAAAATATATGATGCAGGTAGGGTTTTTTTTTAACTCATACCTCTTAACTTTTTTAAGGTTTTTTTAAAGGTTAAAAAAAAAAGAACTTAGGCAAATTTGCTAGATAAACAAAACCCAACGTTCTGTAAACTTTAAATTTGGCCACCAATGCAGAAACAACTTAGCTATAAATTGCAAGTCAGAACATTTTTCCAGACAGCTTCTGAGAACATGACCCATTTTCCTTTCTGAAAATAAAGGAATGACTGTGGTGGGAGTTGCAGCAACACAGTACTGCTTTTGTCTATCAGAAATAATAAACAACGAAGAGCAAAAGGCTCAGAATCTCTGGCCATGTCACCAAAACACCCAATGAAATGTGCATAATTGTTCAGTAAAAGGTCAGTTGCATCATTTTAGTTTCTTTAATATTAAATCTGGCACCAAAAAAGCTCTACTTGTAACATGGGGTGAAGAAAACAAGCATTTAGGTACAATAAAATTATTTCTTTGCAAAATCCAAATGCTTAAAAAGTGAAAAAAATAAGTAGAAAATGGGCTATTTATTTGAATGATAGAATAACTAAAATAACATATTTAATTTTTCAGCTGGGGATGAATAGTGTTAAACATGTATCCATATATCCATCCATATACCCATATCTATCTATTTATTTATCTATCTATCCATCCATCCATCCATCCATCCATCCATCCATCCATCCATATACCCATATCTATCTATCTATCTATCTATCTATCTATCTATCTATCTATCCATCCATCCATCCATCCATCCATCCATCCATCCATCCATCCATCTTTTAATTATTGAATGTGATGGCTGGAATATGATGGGAGTTATAGTTCAGTGACTTATGGATTACCACAATTCACTGTCCTTCCATAAATAATTTTGATTTCATGACATGTGGAAGATCATTGCCTTCTCACTCTCAAGGCCCCCCCCAAATTATCTTATTTTAATAGAACTGTTAATTCAGATCAGGACAGAATGCATGCATGTACGATTGATGTCGACCAATGTAACTAGTTTCCTTTTCTGTCTGCAATCCAATTATAAGAGAGTAGATTTATAATTTAACTGAACTGAATTATTCTCATTAAAATACTTTTGAATTTTACAAAAACATACTGATATATTTTATGACTAGGGCATGGTTACAGTGCTGAACTAGAAACAGTGTTAACAAAAAATGAAATATAGCACCAACAAATCTTCTTACCGATAAATCATATACCCAGGAGCAATTATTTCAAATATAAGAACAAGAACTGCATAATACTCAATACTTCAATAATTTTATCTGTTAGCCTCTTCAACATACCGGTATTGAGGGGATAAAAAAGATGGTACCTAATCTAATTTAGGATAAATTGAATAGCCAACTATTCAAAGTCATTGATACTTGCTTTGTAGCTCCAAATTGTATTACTACTGCGTTTTGTGTTGGATGCACCTAGCAAGATGCTTCCGGGTTGAAAGAATTAGCCGGTGACATCACCTTTGTCTAGGGGATACCCGAGGGTGCTCCTTTCATGTCCCTGGTATTTTCCCACTGAAGTGGTACCTATTTATCTACTTGCATTTGCATGCTTTCAAACTACTAGGTTGGCAGGATCTGGGACAAACTGATGAAAGCGCATTCCGTCACGCATCTTGTTCTTGGGTTTTGAACTGTGGAGCCATTGACCTCTCAATGGCCTTCTGTCTTAGCGTTCTAACCGCGAGCCACTTTTAAACATTATATTAAAAACATTGTGGCATTTTTGTCAATGTATTTATGCATATTCTAAAATAATGAATAATTATTGACTATTGTTTAGTATTGGAACCTTTGTCAGTGCTTGGCTAAGCTTCATCAATTACTTCATTCATGGGGTTTGTGAAAGAAACAATGCCACAACTTAGTACTAAACGTGTCTTGAAGAACCTGCTGGCTGCTCCAACAGGGTATTTTCCCCATCTTTCTTGACTAATTCTTCATGAAATAAACCAGAATCCCTGGTTTACATGATTTGATCCATTTGGACATTGGCAGCTGTGTCACTCTGCTGCTTGTTCATGGTTAAGCCCTAATACCATTTAGGCTGGTGTATGAATGTGGTCGGTGTTACAAATTGTGGGCAAAATTATATTCCACTGTAAAAGGAGAAGAACCAAGCCTAAGGAAAGAGGAAATTAGAGGACAAAAATAATAGTGAAGAAAAATGGTTAAACTCAGAAGGAAAAGCCATTAATTTTTAGATTAAGACAGTAGCATTCATTTGTTTAAGCACAGATCTAACTCAAAGAAGTTTTGGCATCAATTAAAAATAATTTATTTTAAATGTCGAAATGATTTGATAGTTAGAGTGAGGAATGGTGACA